GACGGTCAATCCCACTATTCGTTGGTAAAAGAGTAGCCCAAGAGTTGGCGGTGGGTGGTGATGACTAGCTGCCTTCCCTCTAGTCTTACATTGCTAAATTAGGGACGGCTAGTGCAGATGAACAATAAGAGAAGAAAATACTCATCAAACGAACGTGATTATACGTCAATTTTAGTAAGCTCCATAAAAAAGTTCAACTGTGCCCTATTTGATGTTTTTATTGTAACTATATTTTACATTTAAACATACAGGGACTCTACGAGTACGGGCAACATGTCTTAACGGTACTACCAGTGTCCTGTAGTTTGGTTTGGTTCTTTCAGAGCAAAGCCACATTCAGCTATCTACTGTGTCCACAAAAGAAAATCGAACCTCGGATTTTAGCGTTCTAAGTCCCTAAACTTACTGCTGTCCCACTGGGGGACATGTGCAGTGTAGTATACAGATATGGCATGCTTAACTTATTATACTAAGTACTACTAATTAAGCACTATGCAACACAATGGACTGTCACTGGTATCAAACCCCAATTTTTAGCATTATAAGCTTTCAGACTTATCACTGAAACACCGGTGGCAAATGGATATATATATATATATACTTTTTTGAGCTGACCAACATTTAATGTTTCCTAGACTTATAGTTTTGGCTCAGAACCCAATAAATCCGGTCTTATCATAATTTAGCCCTAACTGTTACCTTATATAACGAAATAGAACTTCTTGTTCAATCAACGCCGCCATGTTGGACGTCAAAATTCCGTTTCTAGCAATCTACATCAATAAAAGAATCGGTAAAGATTTTCAAGTTGTCAACAGCGCATCGCTGAGATAACTTACATTATCAGATAACAAGATTTTGGAGGGAACTTTGTCATTTTTTTACCTAAGCCTAATGTAAGCACTTTACGTCCAATAAGGCGATGTAAACTATAGACTATGTGACTTTTTTAAAGTCCATGCGAGACCTTCTATAGTATAAACCGGTCAAGGCTGTTATTTGCTGTTTCATGGGATAGTTATACTGTATCTAATGCCATCCTGACTATGATGTTACTTGATGAAATACTTTCAGGATATTTTGATTGCTTTAATTAATTTGTTGTTGAATGTTTTACCAGGTGGACTGTGTGTTACGATTACCATGTCGTTCCATATCTTACCACGTGAACTGTATGTTACGATTACCGTGTCATTCTATGTCTTACCACGTAGATTGTGTGTTATGATTATCCTGTTGCTCTACTTCTTACCACGTGAACTGTGTTTTACGATTATCCTGTTATTCTATGTCTTACCACGTAGATTGTGTGTTATGATTATCCTGTTGCTCTACTTCTTACCACGTGAACTGTATGTTACGATTACCGTGTTATTCTATGTCTTACCACGTAGATTGTGTGTTATGATTATCCTGTTGCTCTACTTCTTACCACGTGAACTGTATGTTACGATTACCGTGTTATTCTATGTCTTACCACGTAGATTGTGTGTTATGATTATCCTGTTGCTCTACTTCTTACCACGTGAACTGTATGTTACGATTACCGTGTTATTCTATGGCTTACCACGTAGATTGTGTGTTATGATTATCCCGTTGCTCTACTTCTTACCACGTGAACTGTGTTTTACGATTATCCTGTTATTCTATGTCTTACCACGTAGATTGTGTGTTATGATTATCCCGTTGCTCTACGTCTTACCACATGAACTGTATGTTACGATTACCGTGTTATTCTATGTCTTACCACGTAGATTGTGTGTTACAATTATCCTGTTGCTCTACTTCTTACCACGTGAACTGTGTTTTACGATTATCCTGTTGCTCCATGAATTATCACGTGGACTGTGTATTATGCTACCCTGTTGTTTAAGCACCATCGTAAATATTTCAACAGATTATGCAACACTAGTAATAATTTAATGTACAACGAAGAAAAACTTGATCATAAACATGGTTATTGGTAAAGACCTAGAAAATAACCTACGTTCTCTTAACTGCGAGTAAATGGTAGTCAAAGTTAAAGTATAAGATAAGTTTAGTTGTTTATTTAATATGTTTTATATCACGAAAACATTAACAAATGAAATCAGAGGAAACTCAAATCTAACCTTTCTCGTTGTTCATATCCTGGCTGAGATCCATCGAAGAAGTGCAGTGCTTTTAATAAATTATATTAATGGATTTTTAAGCAGAATAGCCATGCGAGCACCGATTTTTTTTTAAAAAAGAAACGTCGCCGTCACTTGTACAAATGTCCTATATGCATTTATAAATTGTCTCTATACTAAAAAATGGAACAATGTACAAGTCCGGTTGTTTTAAGGATGTGATAAATATATATGACGTCACTCTCGTAAATCTTCCAAAATTTTGTCTTGATTAGGCCAACGTCATGGTGATGACTCATTCACTTGTCTAAGAGCTGTAGTTTTATAGAGTTTTTCAAACACCCCAAAGCAATAAGTACATACATACCCAAAGCATTTTTATACATGTACAATATTGATAGCAGGCCTAACTTCCATAACGCCTCTTTTGGCAAACAACAATTACGTATCGTCCCTTTTTTCGTACCCACCCCACTTTTTTACTTACACTATAATCAACAAAGTACATAGGATTTACCCTGAGCAGTTCGATGAAAGGAAAATTATTAGAATTAAAAAAAAAAAAGACCGCTGTCCTTGAATACTCTACTTCCCGCTGTTACACACAACGGGTCTTCAAGAACACTTTAACGGAAAAATGTTAGCGGATAAATAACTATGTGAAGAGTAATAAATACAAGTATGTGAGAGGGGAATTGTTGTACTTACAGAGATAATCAGTGATGGTTAATATAATATCCAATACTTTACTGTCACTGTGATTGGAAATATCTGATGAAAGATATATAGCTGAAAAGTTTTTGAAACAGCTTCTAGTGGTGATATTATATTTATATGGATAAACCATTTTGTCTCTAACCCTCACGCACAACATTCAAAGTAAAAATATATTTACATGTTGCTTGAGAAACGGAAGTAGAGTATTCAGTGAGAGTTTCATGTTTTTATTATCACAATTTTTCTTGCATCGAACAGTTTCAAGAACTTTATATATGTTCAATAATTAAGTGGGTACGTCTTGAAAAATTTATGTGCGCTTTTAAGACGACGTCAGCTTGCTGTGCTGCTTCTTGTGACGCACGCCCCCAACTCGTCCATACTACAAAAGCTTATTTCAGAGTTCTTCTTGTTGAAGACGTCCCAACTTGTCTTACAACGTTAGTCATATTTCAGATCTTCTCTTGTGAACTACGTCTCAGATTATCTTATTACGTTAAGCATATTTCAGAATTTTGTTATGTACGTCTCAACTTGTCTTACTACTGTTACGTCACTGGTCGCTTGTTAATTTACCATAAAAAAAATTATTCCTGAGAAACTTCAGCGATACAAGTCCTTTCTTAGATAAAACTAGTTTATTCTTCCTCAATACAACTTTGAAATATACAGAATTTCCACAGTCATTTTAACTTAAACACACGCTATAATTCACAATGATTTACACACTTTACTTACGGCTTGACTCGATTATATCCGTTATCAATTTATCTACCGTCTTATATACTAAAATAGAGGGCGTCTAGCAAATGCTGGGACGTTCGTGAGGTTCCCGATCCTTCAAGAATCTCATCACGTGTTTACCAGCGTTACGTGACTTCCGCTGTCGTAACACTGCCCCTTC